GAGATCAGACAGGCCAGGTTCACCTCACTTACCTGCCTGGTCATTGGGGGCAAGTACCAGACACTGCAGACGATGGCCCAGCTGGTCATCATCCTGAGGAGGTAGGTCACCATGCCATACTTGCTGCTGTTCCAAAAGGCATCTCCAAACTGTGGGTCATACTACAGAAACACAAGAGTTCATGAAAGCCAGGCAGACCTTGCACCCTCCCTGAGGCTCTGACTTCTACCCTAAGCCCAGATACAGACCAGCTCTCCCAGAGCACTACATGGAGTCACCTCAGCTTTCCTGTGCCCTCGGAGCAGGCTGGGCTGGGCTGGCAAGACAGAGGGCTACTTGTGCCCTAAGAACGTTGACTTCTCATACCTTGATCGCTACAGGGTAAACCGTGGCTCCAATTTCAAAGCTCCCCTTTTTGAACATCATCACAGAGGTGTTGTTGATGCATGTTCCTGAAAGAGGCAAGCACAATCTTCTCAACTTCCCTCTGCAAGTCAGTTCAGAAGTCTAAGCTACAGACTTAAGGGCTGCTCCACAGGAATCCAGCAACTTCCCCCTAGCCCTCAGTCCAAGCCCTGTTTTCTGTGTGCACAGAATGGGTCAACCGGGACATCGTGTATCTGGCTCCCATGTGGTGGGCTCAGTCAGCTCTAAAGACATAATGTCCCTTTTGTCTCAGTTAAGGGTCTCAAGCCCTTGGCTGTGCAAGAAGGGAAGGAACAGAGATGCGGAGCTGTCCCAAGATGCCCTTTTCACCAGGAGAGATCTGGCCTTGCTGCACACTCACCTTCTGGAAAAATGAGAATGGGCAGTTTGCTCTTGTCCTGGACATGCTCTGTGAGCCTAAACAGAACAGTGTCACCAATTAGCAGAGGGGACAGAAGCTCTCACTAGCAATCCATACAGCATACAGTCCTTGACCTGCAGTCACCAGGGGCTATCTGGGTGCCAGCAACAGAGGCACAGTCCCCCAGCAGCCATGAGGCCAGGCAGTGCCCTCATTCAAGGGAAGTGAGCAGCCCTCCACCTCCCCCAGCCTCCAGACCCACCCCTGCAGCCAGCGACTGTCACACCTTCTGGCAACGAGGTGACGATCTTTGACCTCGGAGCGCTCGAACCAGACATGGGGGCAAGCTTTCACCATGGCTCTCTGAATCACACCCATGAGCCCTCCGTGGATCTGGCCCACCTGAACAGGGCAAGACACAAGCTACAAGACCTGGGCATATGCAAAAGCCTAGGCAGCTCCCAGTTTCACAGCCAAGTTGTAGTTCATCTTCCTACTCCTGCCCTGGAAGGGCTGAGAGGAAAAGTCCCAGGCTCTGACTGGAAGGACAGACACAGCAAACCCCAAGTGCTTTCTGTGTGGCAGGAGGTCCAGCTAGGGAAGTGCTTTGCTCTTCCATCAACAGTAAAGCCCAGAGCTCTGCTTGCAAAGCTGTGCCCACAGACCCCTGGTGGTCGTGTCCCGGGCTGGGCTTCCTTGAAAGCTGTGCACAGCAGAGCCTGACAGGGCCCTGCCATGTCATGCAGGGAAAAGTAGCTCTGCATGCTCAAAGGCCTCTTGCTGCCTACTCCTTGTCCCACACAACATGCTTGCTGCTCCCTCCATGCAGGCAGCCAGGCAGAGCTGGGACCTTACCATTGCGTAGTAGCCATCACTGGCAAGGATGATCACATCAATGGGAGAGGTGTGATTTGCCACGCAGATGCCTCCATTTCGGGGTCTGTTTTCTCTAAATGCAAAACAAAGGTACAGGTGAGGAGAGAGGAACAGAGTGTGTGGCCTGCCAGAGGCCTGCCATGGATCAGGTAGAGGGCAGGGACAGTCTGCAGCCAACAGGCCCTTACCGGTCATGGTAGGTGATGATGGCTGTGAGGGCTCGCACGCAGATCCGGTAACACATCAGGTGAACATGCTTGCTCAGGAACTCCTTACACCTGCACCCAGGACAGAGACCATCACACCCCAGTCCTACAACCTCCCCTGTAATGCTGTCACTCAGCCCAGCTGCCACAGGCAATGAGATCCAGCCAAGCCTTCATGTCTCTGCCACAGAAATGCAGCATGTCCTGGGTTTTGCCACCAGCTTATGATCACTGATTCGTAACTCATGAGAACTAAAATTTGGCCTTTGCTCTTTTCTGTTATTACTCCTTTCAGAGGTCAGGGCTGACTGCTCTGCCATGGGCTTAGTGCTCACAGCTAGGTCCTGTGTTTAAAGTTAGAGTGTCTGTTCCCAAGAGGCCACAGCTGCCAGAATCACCTGCCATATCTACAAGTGGCAGAACAGGCAGGCCTTGCAGGAAAACTTCAGGATTATCAGGTCTCAAACTGAACAGAGGGCATTCCATCCCCTCTTCCCTCAAAGATGAACTCACCTTCCATTTGGCAAATATCCCACCACTGTGGTACCAGTCACCAACAAGCTGATGCCAGTAAATGCCAGGGCTATCCTGCAGAAAGAGGGAAACCACACACTAGCAAAAGCAAGCCAGAGGCCCTGCCCACCAAGGTGCCTGTCTCTCCTGATCATGTTGAGCAGGGTCTGAGAGGCCTGGAGATCAGCTGCACCTGCTGCAGCAGAACAGGACATCAGCACCCCTTGGCAGGCAGGTCCCTGCAACAGCACTCACCTGAGGGGCAGGAGGAAGCAGTAGCGGATGAGCACACCAAGTCCCCACAGCACAGTGAGGCGCAGGCTGATATATTGGAAGTTGTAGTTGGTCCTGCTGAGCAGGTTCCAGGATTCCAGCTCTTCAGCTGAGAACCTCTTGGTCACTTCATCATCCATAATGGTCTCGATGCCTTTGCGGCAGAAATAGAAGATATCTGAGAGCTCAAACTCAGGGGTGTCCAGGGCTTTGCCACTGCCACTCCGGCGGATCTGCTTGATCTCCTCCTCAAGTGATGTTGGCTCCTTTGCAATGATGCCTGCAACGTGCCATAGGCAGCTCTGAGCCAAGCGTGACCTGCCTGCTTGAAGGGAGCTGAGAGCCAGGGCCCTTTCCTGCCTGCCTCCTCAGGGTCCCCTTCCTTTCTCCAGTCCAGACAGGCACAAGCCAGTCCTCCCCCTTATTTAGAAATGAAGCACTCCTGGGGTGCTTCCCTGTCCTTCCTCGTGAAACAGAGCTCTCTGTAACTCCCTCCAATCCATCTACACGGAAAAGGCTTCCCAGCAAACCTCAGCTGCTCAGAGACACCACATTTACCCCATCTCCCCCAAAGAATTTTGAACTTCCTGTGTACCCATGCAGGGAATGATCTCACCATTGGCATAGGGCTTGTACAATGGGTGGTTCTTCTCCTTGGCACCACGCTCTATTCTCAGTGTCGCCCACTGCAAGACAGACAGGACAATCAAGATTCGCAAGACATGTAGCTCCACGCTGCACTGCCCGTTTTATAGTCTACTTTCAGGGAAGACCATGCTTCAGGGGAAGAGATGGGGCTAAAGCAGGAGGCTTCTGTACAGAGCTCAAAGAGTGAGTGATGAACACAACTGAACTGACGTGGAATCAGAGACTGGCCTGGGATGCAGATTTTTACAGCAGAGATCTGCCCACGGTGGGACAAGAGGACTGACAGGGAGGTGACGAGCACAGGCACAGGACAGCCATAATGTGCACACCTCTGTGTGCCACCCAGCAGAGCAGAGCCCCAGCAAGAGAGTGCTCACTGGTGAGATGGCACAACAAGATTTTCTGCAGCTTCCATGACCTCTCGGCTTTGCTGCACCTGGCAAGTGTTGCCACTGCACACCTTCTGGCTGAGGCATGTATCCTGCTGGGGTGGTCTGCACCACAGCACAAGAAGCTGGTCAGGGGATCAGTGCTATTTTTCAACCCTTCTTTCTTCCAAGCTCAAAGCAGAGCCTGTGTTTTCAGGTTGCTGCTGACAATATCAGGCTGATGTTGGGATGCGATCCTTCCCCCTCTGATTCAGCTAATGGCTGCTGCAGCTTCTCAGCTCACCAGTCTGCCCAAAACAGCACCAGTAAGCACCCTCAGACAGCTGGCTGCCAAATCCCATGCCTAGACTACCTGTTCTCTCGGTTGATTTTCAAGGGCACCAGCACAAACTGCAGGCCCGTTTTCTTAGCAGTCTTCCTGCTTGCCCTCCAAGTAACCCTGGCAGCCTGTAACTTGTGTGCACCAAACAGGCCTGAGAGGACAAGCTCCTGAAGGAGGACTTGTGTACAACATGCTTATCTGTGAAGAAGGGGAAATTGCTGGGAACTCCAGGCATCCTGAACTCAGCTCATGCCAGCAGCAGATCAGGAGGCAGCAATATGGGAATGCCAATTGCATACAGTGTCCGATTCAGCTTGCAGCCACCTCTGCCAGCGGTGGGAACTGCAGGATTGCAGGTTGCCTAGACACTGCCATCCCAGAAGTCAGGAGAGGAGCTCTGACCCCGCAGGACCTGAGCAGCCTATGGAGAAGGCCGAGCACCTCTCCCTCCTGACTACAGCAGCAGCAAAACTGCCTCTTGCCCGGGAAGCACCAGGCAGGTGTGCTCCTTCCCCACTGACAGAGGTGTGCCACTGCCAGCCAGGCCCCACAGCTTGGGCTGTGTCCCACAAACCACCAGACTCGAGTGCTGCTCCTCTGGGTTCCCAACACTGGCCTCAAGAGCTAGGAAAATATTTTGAGTAAATAACAGTCCCCAAAAATACCATTGTGAACAGCCAAACTTAGTGACTTCTGAGCAGTTGTGCATGAATGCTCCTCTCTCCCACCATTAACTCTTTGACAAAAGCTGAAATATACTTTGCAGTCTTTTCAGAAAACAGTTTCAAACACCAAAATAGGTGTTGAGCGTAAATGCTCCTGAATTGAAGGAAGGGGGAAAAAAAAAAAAGAGAACCAGGCAGAAAGTTCCATTTCACACAAACCAAAGTTATTATTATTTTTTTCTCCTGGTCCAGTCAATAAATTTGAAGTCAAGTCTTCAGCCATCTGTCTTAATGAAGCCCCTCACAAAGTCCAGGGTCTTCCCATTCATGCCCCAGGCTTTGGGGAGGACTTGAAGAGTTGAACACTATGAGCTCCAGGGCTGTCTTCCCAAGACAGGCAGTACAGGGATACTCTGGGGACAACCAGCCCTGTTCAAACAGCAGTAGCTATACCTTCAATCCTTTAGCAGCTTGAACTCCACATTTAAGAGCTTAAAATCTCCCTAACAAGCACAGAGCACCTGTTTACTTTTCATCGGGGCTGCCAGGGTTGGGTGGTATAGGCTTTACCTACTACTCTTAGGAGATAAAAAATTCTGGTCTCATCAGGACCTTGCTTCAAGGAGAGGTGTTGGCTGTGAGACAGTCCATAAAATTAGCCCGCCAAAGGCAGGCAAGGGAACAGCATGACCCCAAGCTGGAAAATTCCACTTGGCCTCTCTGTGCCAAGAGGGTCGGCAAGGGCTGCCAGTCGTCCTCTGAGGTGGCAGGTCCAGACACAGCTCAGCAGATGAGCAGGTGACACTCCAGGACAGAAGCGTGTTGAGAGCTCTGGGTTCTGGCCACAGATCATTCAGGGTTCACAGGACAGAAAGTCTTGCCTTACCTTCTGCTTTTGCTTCATCCAGACATGTCCCGGAGGGGAGCAAACTGCTGGCACAGGCTGATCCCTCCTCATCACACCCCACATTGAACTGTACCAGCACTCTGCCTTGCCTGGGACAATGCAGCCATCCCAGCACATGCCTCAGCACCTCTCAGATCCTGCTGCAGCCCTGCCTCCTGCTGAGCCTCATTTCTTTACTTTTCTTTACTTGAAGACTTAATAGATTAATTACAGGGAAAACCAGCCCACAAACAAATATCTGGTAAACTGTATTTGGCTGAGATAAGCCAAATGGGTCATCTGGCACCAGCATGACACCAACAACCCATCTGCAATACCCTGATGAGGCAAAAGCCTCTCTTCCTAGTATGACCACGCTTGACAAAAAACCCTATAAACACACAGAGAATTCTGAAAACATGACTTACCTGAAAAATCTTTAATAAAGTTTTCATGTAAACCTTGCGGATGCCAAAGGACACTCCAAAAATTGCTGGAACAATGATGAAAACCAGAAGCAGAGTGAAGAGGACAGTTATGGAAATCCCCAAGAGATTAACCACCAGGCTGTCAAAGGGGAGCAGGAGGAACATGGTGAAGGGCCCAGGCAAGGCTGGTGCCCTGCAGCCAGACAGAAGGGCTGCTGCCAACGATGAACCAGTCTTCCTGTTACTCAGCAACAGTCACACACATGCACCAAGTCCGCAGCCTTCTCACAGACCCCATGCCAAAGTTCACATCCTTTTGGGGCTCTGAGAGAGAAGGAATTCAACAGGGTCAGGGAGAGCTTGTGGGAAAACAAGCGAAGAGTCTGCCAGGAGCCCAGGTGAGTTCGGACAGTGTGGGCCGTGGAGCTCAGAGCAGACGGCACGTGCACGGTTCGTCCATGGGCGTGTGGTGGGCACGGCAGCAACGCGACTGCAGGGATGGATCTCCTCCCAGGCTGCCGTGGAGCAAGTCCTGCTGTGGGGCAGCTTGTGGAGAAGCTGGTGGCAGAATCCCTTCCTGGCTGCTGAAAGCATGCAGAGTCTCTTCAGAGGGACAAGGTGGAGTCCATCCCTGAGCCTGCATTGGAGGAGACCGAGGGAGTTGGCACTGGCAGGAGCTATTACTGCTCTCCCCACGAGGACACGCGCGCGAGCACAGGTCCTTGCATGACGCCTGGAACAAGTTTAATTCTGGAGGGCCCTGGCATCCACCGAAGGGTTGTTACAGACACGGATGAAGTCTGAGTCCCTGGAAAGCTCTTCAAACAGTGAGTTGGCTTCTTGGCAGATGAGGCACTCACATGCCACCAGCAGTAGTGGAGGAAACAGCAACCGAAGTCAGCAGCTCAGAGAGATGTCAGCGCAGAGAGGGTGGCAGGAGGCCAGAGACAGTGGGCTATGAAACCTGGAAGGCAGCGCTTGTGCTGAGGTCACCTCACTCAGAGCAGCTCCTGAGACACAGGAGACTCACACTGCTACTCCAGCTACTGCCTGACACTGTCACAGATTTGAGAATCACCCCCTGCCGCCACTCGTCCTGTATTTTCATACCACGCACACCTCAGACGGAGCAGACTCATCCGGAACCACACCTAAGGCACAGGACGCTGCAATCAGCTCCCAAGTACAGGAAAGGAGTGACAGAAAGCCTGTCCTCATGACAAAGATTTTATCACCTCTCTCATTTCAGGGGCATCCAAGAGCACTGAGGCAGCCAGGTACCCAGATTCCTGGGAAGGCATCACTTCCTCTGCTCCTGCACATCCCATCCCTGTCACATGGGGCAGCTTCACAAACAGTTCAGGACAGGAAGTTAGCCCAAGGGGAGAATTACTGCTGATGATTAGCCAGAGAGGAACTTGTTAGGGCACTGTGACCAGTCAAAGGTCACACACCTGTCACTACAGGACTCTGTGGGAGGATGTGTGCTCACAGGGCCAAGGAGGCTTGTGACAACAGATGAGTCTGCCCAGGAGACACTCCCCTGCAGACACCACCTTCACCTGGCTACCGAGTGTCAACCTGAGGATAGGATTTAACAGGTACCTGACGAGCACACAGGGATAGAGGAGAGTCTGTGAGGATCCTCTTGCTTCCCTACTCAGCATGTCCGAGCTGTTGGTTAAACACCGCTGTGCCAGCAATGCCAAGAATATTGTTAGTATTTGAAAGGCACACGCACACCCGCGCAGACCACGTCCTGGGAAAGGCAGCTCGTCAGCCACACGTGCAACTGCCCATTAGGCCAGAGCTGTCACCCACCAGAACCCACAACGCCGCCGGCAAACCGGTCGGACCGGCGCCCTGAG